TTTTGCTTGACTTTCATCAAAGATGATAGAGCTTTGATATGCAGATGCCATGAATGTTTTTTTGCTTGACTTTCATCAAAGATGATAGAGCTTTGATATGCAGATGCCATGAATGTTTTTTGCTTGACTTTCATCAAAGATGATAGAGCTTTGATATGCAGATGCCATGAATGTTTTTTGCTTGACTTTCATCAAAGATGATAGAGCTTTGATATGCAGATGCCATGAATGTTTTTTGCTTGACTTTCATCAAAGATGATAGAGCTTTGATATGCAGATGCCATGAATGTTTTTTGCTTGACTTTCATCAAAGATGATAGAGCTTTGATATGCAGATGCCATGAATGTTTTTTGCTTGACTTTCATCAAAGATGACAGCACAGCTATTCATATAGGTCTATTTGTCCGTATTCCGTCCCACTTTCTGTCAACTACTATTTTTGACTTGAAAACCACTTTTATACGTTGTATACTCCCATTTTTAATAACTATATTTTATTTTATTTTATTTCAGCGTATGAAAGAACATATAGAGAAGCATTCACCAACCTTAGATAGAAATGCACAGTATCAGAAAGAGGTGAGTAGCTCTATTAGTACCACATGTGCTTTTTTGTAATGACAATTACCAGTGTTATTTATAATGATCGAGTATATAATACAATTTTTGGTTTATTTATGCTTTTTTTTGGAGATGTATTTCTAACAGAGCAATTGTTTGATAAAGCTCACATCCTATTGTAATACATGTGAGCAAGTGTCAATCAAACTTAAATGGATGCTTGTATGTAACCATGGTAACAGTGGACGCTTGTCTGTAACCATGGTAACAGTGGATGCTTGTCTGTAACCGTGGTAACAATGTATGCTTGTCTGTAACCGTGGTAGCAATGGATGCTTGTCTGTAACCATAGTAGCAATGGATGCTTGCAATTATTTGAGATACTGACAGATTTGTGCAATCAGGTCACTGTACTTGTGACTTCACTCATTGATCACTGTATATTTTTTTTGTACTTTTCAGTCTAAAATTAAACGTCTACCAGCATATCTAACAATACAGTTTGTAAGGTTTTTTTACAAAGAGAAGGAAGGAGTCAATGCTAAAATATTAAAGGTATGAATATTCCTAATATTTTACCTTAGACGAATTATGTCTGGGAAAATAGCCAAATTGTATATCAATGGAAATTTAATGTTCTTGTCTTAAAAATGTTGTGGTAATGCGATTCTAAGTTACAGTTATGTCAAATATACCGTAGTTGTTGGGGTAAGCACCAAGGTCCTGAACATGGAAAAATTGCCAAAAAATAGGGGTGGGCGTTTGCCCGGACATCCTGTGCAAAAAAACGAAAATTCACGGGAAATTTTCCATACAACTGCGGCAGATAATAAAATGGCAAACGAAAAAATCAACTGAAATAAATGAACAATATGCAACATTAGAAGCATAACAAAAATAATTTATTGCTTATAATGTGACAAATAAACCAGAAATAAAAATCGACAGTGAAGAATTATTTGAAATTTCCCCGCCGCAAACACGTCCAATACGCATATTAAACTAAAAATTAACTAAAATGTCAGAGGTTAAATTGCGTAAAATTATTTCCAGGTTTGACAAATTTACACAGTAACTATTACGAAAATTCATAGTTGTTTGAAAAAAACTTTCAGATCTCCATTTGGACATTCATTGCCATCTTCGTCAAAGTCAAAACCCTCAAAGTCAATGTCACTGTCCCCCTCCAACAAAATCCCTACACTTTCATCCTGAAGTTCGTCAATGTCATCGCACACAATTTGGACTTAGCACTGTAAATCCACCGATTTTGTTGTCTGTCAGCTTGGCACTTTCAATTCATTCTAATCACAGTAAAGAGACCAGAAAAATTGGGTCGCGTGCAAACGACTCTGCTCTATCATTTTTGACCTTTAAGTATCTGCTTTTCTGATTGGCTAAGAATGACATCACTACTAGAGGTCAAGCGTAACATCAAAAAATTGCTGGCCCCAGTTCTGGATTTATGAAACCAAAACAACATGCTTTCAACCACTCTCCCACGTACGGGTTGCTACAATATTGCAACAATGGTTTCATTGTCGATGACGCTAAAGCGAACGAGTGCAGCACTTGCTTCGCAGCTCTCAATACTGTAAGATTTGCTTAAATCGTTTCTAAGGAAGCACAAACCAAACAAGCCTTTTCAAGAGAACTAAATAAAGAGAACTACCGTTTCTGCTTTAATATAAATTTTGTAGACTTGCTGATTGTTATGATTCAGTCTTGAAACAAAAAAAGCAACTAAATTATGACTTGATGGAATTTATATTTAACTTTTTTTTGCTGAGCAAAACCACCTTGTTTCAGCTCCATTATATAATGATGTTTTTTTGATGTTTGGATTTACAGGATGTTAAATTTTCTACAAGTTTAGATATGTATGACCTTTGTACGCCAGAATTACAACAAAAATTAGTTCCAATGAGAGACAAGTTTAAAGAAGATGAAGATAAGAAGGTGGAGGAAGCACAGAAGGTAATACTTGTGTTATTTCATTTATTCTCACTGATATTAAATCATGTAAACATGATAAGCACTGGAAAAACATTGGCCACTGTGAAAGGTATCACATGACACTGTGAAAGGTATCACATGACACTGTGAAAGGTATCACATGACGCTGTGAAAGGTATCACATGATGCTGTGAAAGGTATCACATGACACTGAAAGGTATCACATTACAATCACATTGTAATATTATTGGGTCTTGTAAAACATGGATCATTGAAAACAAATGCAGCTTTTGTGTTAATAAGTGTCACCTGACTGGGATATATTACAATAATTGCATGAAGACAGTATGGTGACTGAATATGATGTAATACTTTAAAGAGAAATAATTGCCCAAAATGTTTTATAGGAATGTGTATGTATGATTATTTACGTTCAATGGAAGTATTCTCTTTTGTTGCTTCATTTGTTATGTTTTAATGTGATGTAAATGATGTGAAATGTTTGTGCTGTAGTTTACTCAAAATAAAAGACATTTTGAATGTATGAATGAGTGCGAAATATATTTTGAATGAATACAAATACAGTTTTTTATGAAACTGACCAATGTACTATAATTTGCACCTGTTTATAAAATTCTATTGAATACCTTGGCTGTTGTTCAATGGTTAGGGTGTTCACCTTGTATCATGGAAGTTGTACATGTTACATATTGAATACCTTGGCTGTTGTTCAATGGTTAGCATGTTCACCTTGTATCATGGAAGTTGTACATGTTACATAGACCAACACTTTGTTATTGTAACTGTTTCTCTTTTATACATATACATGCAATATTATTTGCTTTCATTGTGATAGGCTAAAGAAATCCTTGGTAAGCAAAAAGATAAGGACACAGTCGCACCAATACCCATGGAGGTTGATAAGAATAAAAAAACAAGACTAGAACCATTCTCATTTGAAGATGGTGAGTTTCTTCTACTGTTGCTATCATATCAGTGATTGGTATGTGGCTGGGTTTGTGTTTGTTTGTTTGTTTGTTTGTTTGTTTGTTTGGGGTGTAAGTTTTTATGAATACAAATTTTGAATAACACAATGTTGCGTGTATGTGCCTTAGTTGTGCAATCAGTCATACAAGATTTAAAATTGCAAGAATATCCACAATTTAAATTTAACTTTGCCCTTTGACTAATAGAAACCTAATTTCTATCCATGTAATATTAACAAGCTTGTGTTTAATGTTACTAGATATTGGTTCCAGTAACAGTGGATATTATGAATTACAAGCTGTGTTAACACATCAAGGCAGATCAAGCTCATCTGGTCACTATGTTGCATGGGTTAAAAAGAGCGGAGGTGAGTTGTCTTTGCCTTGATGCCTCTGTCAGGATCTAACTGGTTAATAAGGCTTGTAATTTATTTTCTACAAAGACCATGTGCTAGTTGTCTTTATCAACTGAAGCTTGTATCCAGTTTATATTGACATGCTTTGCCATGGATCGATCTGTGCAATATATTTGGATGGGACAGTAGGGGTTTTCTAAGAAAAAACTGCAAGAGCGTCACTGCAATTCAGTGGCGCCACCAAATGGGGGAGATGGGGTTCTCCCTACCAGAGTGTGGAGTTTTTGAGAATTTTAAGTTAAAATGGAGCATTCTATGGCTTCCTTGGGACCAAAACTACTATCAGACAGGTCACAGTTGAAGACTGTGGTCACATGTGATCCCTGGTCAATTGGAATTTTAAGGTTGGCAGAGGATCTGCTCCCCAGGGTAAGGGGGTTCATGGCCATGGCATGAGGGCGCTGTGCTCCTGTTCCCTTGTTTAAAAAAATCCCTGGGACAGCATAATTTATGTTCACACAAATCTACCTCATTAATGAAATTCATAGCAATAACTGCTTTTTCAAAAAAAACAACAAAAAAAAACTTCCATAATCATTCGCACTATATAATTAATTCACAGACACACCAACAAAGCCATGTAACCAACTATTAATCTTTTCATCACCAGTTCCTTGTTTTCATCACAAAATGGTTCTTTTTATAGTCCACACTTTCCTTCAGAAGATTGAGACAATAATAGCCAAATTTTTTAAGTAAGAACTGAGAATAGACTAAAAATTTCCCTCCAAAAGTAGGGTTCTTTTTTTTTTATAAACTATATTTTATTTGTTCACATATGTGTTTACAGTAATGAGAGAAAGAAAAATACAAGAAAAAAATACATTTCACATTATTGTTTTCAGTTACGATCTCAATTTGAGCTCAGAGAAAAACATTTGGTACAAATTGACTGTATTTAAATTTCCACTACTTTTGTGGAGCAGCCATGACTTATAAATTACAAACATTGCAATTACAATCAACAGATTTCCACTCTGACTGTAACCATTCATTCCATTTATAAGTATTGGAATAGTTATTGTCGCTGTACAATTGTGTAAAAAAATTAGGGTTCAATTTCCAGAAATATTGATGAATATAAGAAAATAGTGCAGACAAATTTGTGTAAGAAAGTCTGGTGTGGAAAAGGTTAATGACTGTATGAGTTCATTTACTAGCATTCTGTTTATTATTTTGTAGATGACTGGGTGAAATGTGATGATGATAGAATCTCCATGGTAACAGCCGAGGATGTCCTTAGGTTATCAGGCGGTGGTGATTGGCACTGTGCTTATGTGTTGATCTATGGTCCAAGAAGACTTGAAGTAGAACTGGAAGACTAAGGAGGGTCTCAACATAACAGCTGTTGCTTAGCAACGTTTGACTTGTTTATATGCTGTAAATTTTCCACTCAGTATGAATGAGAAAAATCATTGATCTTGTCAAAAATCACTGTTGCTAGTTCAGAAATGTTCTTCCATTTTCAATCACATCTATATGTCTATACAAAGCTATAAATAGCATGTCTTAAAGTGAGCCCTCTAGAGTTCTTATGTGGATATCCATTGAATACACCACTATAAAACCATTATTCACTGGTTTTTAATTTTACTGATTACTGAAATGCATTATGGGACTAGTTATCTTGAATGTAACTGTTTGATTTGTTCACTGACGCGAGTATTAGGTTCTGTGAATTTACTATTTGCATGAAAGTGAAATAAAGTGAAATAAAATTCTAGTGAAATTAGTTTCTCTATGTATATGTACTGCTAATACTGTCTAGTTTTTCATACAATGAATATTTATGTTTTCTAATTATACATTTACGGCTCCAGAGGGAATCTCTAGAAAAAAAACTGCAAGAGGTAGCACTGCAATTCAGCGGCGCCACCAAGTGGGGAGATAGGGTTCTCCCTACAAGGGTGTGGAGTTTTTGATAATTCTAAGTTAAAATGGAGCATTCCATGGCTTCCTTGGGGCCAAAATTACTATCAGACAGGTCACAGTTGAAGACTGTGGCCACATATGATCCCTGGTCATTCTGAATTTTATGGTTGCCCCTGGGTAAGGGGGGTATGGCCATGGTATAAGGGTGCTGCACCCCCTGTTCCCTTGTTTAAAAAAATCCCTGCGTTTTATAAACAGTCTCTCGCTTGTAAAAAAAAATATAAAAGCATTCATTTGAAAGTCTGAATTTTTCCTTTAAACTATGTCTCCAGCAACATTTATGCGTTCAAAGTTATTGATGTCACATGCAAACACTTTCTTTGTATACATTGGACGCACAAGCACTATAGCACTCCACAAATATAGAATTATATTGCTGAACGCAAATGTCTGTACAGCAAAAAACATTTTTGTCATTTCTGTCTATAATCTCTTACTAAATTATTACTACAAGTAGGAACATAAGGTTATCGCAAGAATACTGCAAAGTATGCGCAAAGGCAGTACTGGCCACAATGACTTCTACTATGTGTTTGTCAATATGATCACTGTACTGCCTTCATGCATACTTTGCAGTATTCTCATAACAACCTCATAATATGTCATGTTTTTAGGTGCCCAAGCCCATAGGGCAAGGCCCCTATTGTTATTTTTCTTTTTTCTTTGTTTTTAGTTCCCATTCAGATGCAGTTGGAAAATGGAGACTTATGTTTTGACCTTTGTGCATCCGTGTGTGCGTCTGGATCTGCATCTTAGACATGTCTGGACCAATCACAATCAAACTTCACACTTGTATCATACATAATATATACATATTCACATCAATTTGTTTCACGATCCTGGGCCGATTGCTCAACAATGTCATTATATTAGAATATAATGTACACAACTCCTCAGTATGGTTGTCATTAATACAGTTCGGATTACAACAGTTTAGTGCATCCTTGGGTTCAGCTCCTTAGCGGTCGCTATGTTCCAATTAAGAAAAGTTGCATGTTCACTGATCATTTGGTTGTTATTTCTAAAATGAACTAGACCTGCCAACTTGACTGTCACACTCATTGGAAAATGGTCAAGACAAAACATTGTGCATAATATTAATATTTGATATAGCATTATGCATTGAATATGTGCTAACACAATGGTCCAACCAAGCCATGGGTTTCACTATAAAACATGAATTTATCATTGTCTTTGCCAAGCAAACTAAAATCAGAAATAAATAAGCTGTTTTCACTGGAAAAACGCTCAAGTTCCAGTCCAAATGATATTTCAGGTCCAGCATTGAAATCTCCCAGAACAATGACATTCGCCGAATCAAATTCTTGAATGATACAATCAATTTTTTCTAAATACATAAGAAAGCTGTCATAATTGTCATTTGCACACGTAGGCAAGTAAGAGCATACAATAATAAGTTTTGTTGCATCATTACAAAGTTTGATTTAAGGTTTTCACATTTTACTTCCAGATTGATAGACTTCTTCAGGTAACTGCAAATGTCCTCCAACTTTGTGGTCGGTGCAAATCTAGATACGAATAACTTGAAGGGAGGATTAGAGCGAAACGCGCACGATTCACCCACACTGGCTATTCCAACTGTCGGCTGAGGGTGCCTTCGTCGCCGGCTCTTGACCATTGTGAAGCCATTATCATCACGCACAGGTGCCACATTCATGGTTACTTTGACAACATGCGGCTTCACTATTTCGAAACCACCATGGTTATTAAAAGGCGTTAGATTCCTACTTACATCAGAAACACTCGACTTCAATTTTGTTGCATAAGTGGTCGTAATTGCCCTCTTTCATAGAGCCAGTATAAGCATGACTAGACTGATTATCGCCCTTGTCTTGCTTCTCGTCTTCCAATACCGTCTCATGCAAATCCTCGCAATCCTCAGACTGTACACTTCCAGGCCCGGCCCGTATATCCTGATTTGCAAAATAACTTTTCATGAAATTCATTTCCTTGCGTAGGTTTTTAACTTCTTGTATCAATTCGTCATTTATCTTTGATTGAGATCGTAGAAATGATTCCTTCAACTCAAATACTTCTGATCTAACGATTTCATCTCCCTAGTCATTACGCAGACATCCACATGAGTAAGATCAATTGGTGGTAAATTACCAAATCCTTGGCAGTAAAAACAGCAGATTTTTGGCATCCGTTTCGTGAATCAATTTCAACATATCCTGTATATTATTGGAGCGCTTGTTTTGGCCCTGTCGACATTTAATGTATCGCGATGTAGAATCATTACAACATAAAGCATTTTTTATTACAGTCAGAGCAAAGTTGAATATCACCCTGGGAGCAAACTACCAGTTGAGACACCTCGCCACAGTCTTCACATCGAAGAGAACTCATCACAATCTACAGTCAGTTACCTGACACAACAATGTATACCTTTCACAGCACACTTGCCGAATTCATAAGCATTGAATAGTCTTTCAAACACCAACTCTTTCTAAGATGTTCACGAGACATTCAGAAAACTATATACTCACTTCTACATCCAATAACTCGTGAATTTTGAAGAAATATTTTTTTTTTTTGCAGCAACACAAAGAAGGCATGTGTCTGTTGTCTTTTCTGTGGTCTTTTCTCTGAATTTGATCTGCCTAATAAGTGGGCTGTCAATATTATGCCTGTACCAATACATGATTTTAGGTGACAAAATAGCAAACATTTCACTGGCAACTTGAAGGGCAGTTATAGATTTCAAGACGATACTTTTAAGTGATTAGATGTGAGTAACTGCTGAGTTACTAGAAAGGGAAGCTTGCCATACTAAGTTATTGGAAAGGGAAGCTTACCATACTAAGTTACTGGAAAGAGAAGCTTGCCATATTAAGTTACTGGAAAGGAAGCTTGCCGTACTAAGTTACTGGAAGGGAAGCTTGCCATACTAAGTTACTGGAAAGGGAAGCTTGTCATACTAAGTTCCTGGAAGGGAAGCTTGCTATACTAAGTTACTGGAAGGGAAGCTTGCCATACTAAGTTACTGGAAGGGAAGCTTGCCGTACTAAGTTACTGGAAAGGGAAGCTTGCTATACTAAGTTACTGGAAGGGAAGCTTGTCATACTAAGTTACTGGAACGGGAAGCTTGCTGTACTAAGTTACTGGAAAGGGAAGCTTGCCATACTAAGTTACTGGAAGGGAAGCTTGCCATATTAAGTTACTGGAAGGAAAGCTTGCCATACTAAGTTACTGGAAGGGAAGCTTGCCATACTAAGTCACTGAAAAGGAAGCTTGTCATACTAAGTTACTGGAAAGAAAGCTTGCCATACTAAGTTACTGGAATGGAAGCTTGTCATACTAAGTTCCTGGAAAGGAAGCTTGCTATACTAAGTTACTGGAAGGGAAGCTTGCCATACTAAGTTACTGGAAGGGAAGCTTGCCGTACTAAGTTACTGGAAAGGGAAGCTTGCTATACTAAGTTACTGGAAGGGAAGCTTGTCATACTAAGTTACTGGAAGGGAAGCTTGCCGTACTAAGTCACTGGAAAGGGAAGCTTGCCATACTAAGTTACTGGAAGGGAAGCTTGCCATACTAAGTTACTGGAAGGGAAGCTTGCCGTCCTAAGTTACTGGAAAGGGAAGCTTGCCGTACTAAGTTACTGGAAAGGGAAGCTTGCCATACCAAGTTACTGGAAGGGAAGCTTGCCATACTAAGTTACTGGAAGGG